ATATCACAAAGCTTCATTGTTAAGATACATTGACCCTCAGTTTTAACACAAGATGTACCTTGGACCAGAGTTTCCAGTTTATACTTCTTATTTGACTAGCTGGATTCTCTGCTTTCCTCCCCATTTATTTTAAAATTTGCTTTCTGATTCAAGTAGACAGTGGGAAAAATCATATTTTGGACGTAAATTTTCTTTTAAAATGCAGTACTGAAATTCAGCAGTGATATTATGCCATGAGAGAATTTGGGATTAGGGAGTAACTTGCTTTCATTCAAAAAACCTGCAATCAGCTTTAAGAGAGTCAAGACTTGCATTTAGAACGACTCAATATTTTGGATTGGAAGGGACCTTTCAAGGTCATCTAGTGTAACGCCCCCAACAATGAGCAGGGACATCATGTTGCTTGGAATCCCATCCAACCTGTCCTTAAACGTTTCCAGAGGTGGGGCATCTACCACCTCTGTGCAACCTATATTGGTGTTTCAGCACCCTTATTGTAAAACCCAGTCTTCCTTATATCTTGTCTAAATCCAACACTTTAAATTGAAAGTCATTCCTGCTTGTCCCGTTGGAACAGATCCCACTAAGAAGTGTGTTCCCATCTTTTTTATAGCCCCTTGAAGGCTTCAGTAAGGTCTCCCTGCAGCCTTATCTCCTCCAGGCTGAGCAAAGCCAACTCTCTCAGCCTTTCTTTGTGAGGAGAGGTGATCTGATTGTTTTTGTGGCCCCCCACTGGATCTGCCCCAACAGGTCCATGTCTTTCCTGTTCTGAGGATTCCAGGACTGGATGTAGTTCTCCAGCTGGAGTCACACTAGAGCAATGTAGAATTGCTGTGGTAGTGTGCCCTGTAGATTTTTTTTCAGAGAGGTGTACAGTCTTCTGAAAGACAACATTACAATTCGAGAGGCTGTACCTCCTAACTGAGAGGAGATGGCTTTGAGAAGCAAAAAAATGTGAGGATTTCAGTAATTTTTATCTTTGTCTTTATTTCGATCTTGAAGCCCGACTTCACTATGAATTTCCAGTTCTGTCTGAAATTTTGGGAAGTTCTGTCTGGAAGCCTGTGAGCCAGCACCAGTGGTCTGGGTTTAAGTGTCTGCTAATGCAGGCTGATCATAGTGCTGAGCATGAAAGCAGTGATGCAATTGTGCATCAGGAGAAAGAGTTGGGGGAAGAATATTTGCTGTTTATCAATGTGCTGTCTTCTACTCTTATTTATAGCAGCTAGAACTGCTGGCTTGTCTTCTAACTTAAAATGTTGGATAGGGACAGTGATTTATTGGATAATGAACAAAACCACCTGTAGTTTTATGTGAATCACTATGCTAATAGCATCATTTTGGAGATGGAATTTGCCGTGGTTTGAGATCTGAATTTGAACCTTGTGTAGATCATTGGGTTGCTCTCCACTTCTGTTAAGATCATTTCAGGCTAGCTGGCACAATTCTAAACATGAGTAGGAAGGTCTAGAGGATATATTCATGCATCAGAAAGGTGAAAATAGATGGTGTTGCTGCTACCTACTTTCATCATGTTTTCTTAATTACTACAGAATGCAGGTCAGCAGAGGCTAATATATCTTGAGGTTGTAAAATCTGTAATGATATGTATTGCTTTGAAACTTTGCAGTGAAATCAACAGTGAAAATAACTTCTGAGATGGAAAGATGATAAGTACATAAGTACAAAGATATTGCAGGATATATTTTCCTTTTAAGACATTGAAGTATTATGTAGGATCTTGAGACTGCACTCTCATGCAAGAGTTGTATTGATCTACAATGACACCGTTACAAATAGGAGCTATAATCAGAAAACATGATTTAGAGTGATTTGAGGATGTTGGGAAGCATTTTAGGGATTCTAATCCTCCTAATTCCTGTAGTTTTATAAACTATGTTTGATATTAGCCATGTCTCCTTTGCTATCGGTTCTCCTAACTTTTTACTGTTACAGGAGAAATTCGTACAAATTGAACTGTCTTTCAACTATCTCTTAAAAATGGATACGAGTTTGAAAGCTGGATCTACCCAGAGACAGGATTCTTGATTCTTATTTTCTTATATGGATTTGAATCTTTTGTGTGCTCCAGAACAAGCAAAACTTACTCATGCACACCCCCTAAAACCAAATAGGAAAAAATGCCCACATGACTTCAAGGACTCTATATTTTCATTCCCACTTTCAACAACACACAGTATTAGAGACACAGAGCCTTATTTCTAGTATCATTTTTCAAAGAGAATAAAGCAAGTGAGGCATTTAATTAAACTTAGAAAAGCAAAAAAAATTTCCAAACTTAAAGCTGATTACTTAGTCTGACATTGTCCTTAACTGACCATGTTGATCTTGTTGGATGGAGTTTCCACTCCACTCTATTTTTTTTTTTTGCTTTTGCATATTTCACTCCAGCTTCTCATGTCACTAACATAGGGATTTTTTTTTTTTGTGGTTTAATTGTATGAAAAATTTGGTGCTGTATTCTTGGAGCTGTACATATGGTTCCATGCCAAACATATTTGTTTACCGTGGTAATGTCTGAGTTGTAGTGTGCCAGCTAATAAAGGGATTATTTAAAGAAAAAGGTGAATGACTAAAGCAGATGTGCCAGTTGAGTGAACCATTAAAAGAATCTTACTTCTCAGCTTTTATGTAAAGGTTATTTTTAATGCATTTCTGAGAAATCAAGAATGCTTTTGAGGCAGCTGTAAGTCTGTTTGCTAGGGGGTCTGTGGGCGTGAAAGACATTGGTCTTTCATCTGTCTTATGAAGAATTTGCAAAGACAGCAGGTAGAAGTCCTGAATTTCAACATCTGATCAAGTATTATAATCTCATGATGAATTTTGACCTGTTTGAAATGTCATGATCTTGTCATTTAGTTGTGGGGAAACATGTTTTAATATTTATGGAATGTAAAAGTAAATTGCCATAATGCTGTATATTTATGTATCTTTATTCCGTAAAAATCCTGGATGTCAACATGCTGTAAAAGTAAATCCAGGTCAACCTGCTGTAGTAATACTAAAACCTTTCACATCTTATCTTACACAAATATTAGGTACTCTGATTTTACTAGAAAATGAAGCACTCTGGCTGCTAAGCATTTTAACCAGGATTGATGTAAAAGTGTTTGAGAGAAGCTAAAATCATGGATTAAATGCTGTTTGCCCAGGCATTTCATCTGTTGTACATCACATTGTCCAAGTGACTTCCAGAACTGGAAGTTGATTCTGCTCTTGATAGATTTGACTGGAATGTCTCCTCTTAGAAACTGACTTTTGTGAATTAGATATTTGTAATCTCATTTCTTAAAGGAGTTGATCAATTCATTTGGGAAGAATCCTGGAGACAGAATTCTAAAGAGAAGACAATAAAAAAAAGCAAAAGCATTTAAATACTATTTTTAAGCATAGCTTTAGGTTGCTGGGTATACAAGATATTTCCACTGAATTTCCTTTAATTTTGGAGTTAACTTTTTAGTGGACAGGTAAGGGCTACCTTGAAAACTAATAGCTCAATTTTTTAAATTCTGGTGCTTAAGTATATAGTTTGTTTTGAATTGAGGAAATTAGGGGTTGGGTTACTTAAGGCACTTGACCATATATTGTATGGCACTTTCAGTAATGGTACATTTTAGGTACTGTGAAGCTCTGCTGAGAAAGATGAACCTGTAGTGTTTCTGTTTGTTCCTATCTGTTGCTGTTTGTTGCCTCTTTCAGTATATTTTTCTTACCAGCTTTTTAAGCCATGGACTATTTTTTTTGTGTTCATGACAGCAGGCAGAAGAAAACCCATGTTCTCTCATTTTTTACTTTTTATGACCTAATAGTGCAAATAGTATTATCTTGAACATTCATCCTCGTGGCAGTATGGTTTAGAAAAATCTGTTTACATATGTGAAGCCTCTCTGGTGTTAATAAAGGCAGAATTTGTTCCTTCATTAAGAATAACTGAATTAATGGCTTTCTCATTTTAGGTTACTTGTGCTTTTGTTTTATTCTAGTATTGAAAAAATTCCAGAGACAGCACAGAAGTCAACTTTAGCATTTTCAGTGTGTTCCCATCCAGAAATGTATCAAAAGCTGTCTGTTTTGTGGACGATGACTGTAATCCGATCTAAGCTTATGTAGAAATGAAGAATTTGCCATGGATGAGCATAGCAAATAAGGGTTTCAAGGGGCTTTGTTTGAGATGATCGATCTCATAGCAGTATGTTTTGTAAGATTTTGAAGAGCCATTGCAAAGCAATTAGATCACCTTTCTTGGGATTTCAGGGCTCTATTAATCATCTTTATTTAAAACCAAAGAAAAGGCTTCTTTGAATTGAAGGTTTCATGATTATTTAAGGTTTGGGCAGCCTGTTGATACACTTAAAATAACATTGCCACAACAGAGTATCATGGTGGGGAGTATCCTACCTCTCACTTGTGCATCAGTCCAGCACATGGCATTTCTTTCAGTTATGTTTATGAGATACCTGCCCCATTAAGATGAGGATGGCTGTGTTTATTTGACAAAAAGAAAAACTGGCAGGAGATTTTAATACCTAGAGGTTCGTAATATCCATCCCCCGTCAGTTTTATCAAGAATTAGGCAATTGAATTCCATAAAGTTAGCCCCTGCAAAGCTGTCTTGTTTAGAAGTTACTTCAGTTTGTCATGTTCCAGCGTGGATTTCAAACCTAACTTTGTTTAGGATTAAGAACCTCTTGACAGGTTTAAGATTTAAAATGCTTAGCTGACCTAACCAACCTTAATATTGAACTGGCTGAAAATTGCATTTTGCATAGCTTCCAAATGCTGGCTTCATTCTTGAAGGACCATGATTTCAATGCAAGGAAATGCAGTGTGACTGGATGTAAATGGAGTTAGACCTCAGAGAGGTTTATTTTCTCCTTTGCTGGATATATACTGAATTTTTAAAAATTTATTACATATGCTCAAAGCTTTTGATCCTGTGCTTGGTTAATCATTTGTTTTCTTTCCTTCTACCACTCCAGGCCATATACACCTATGAAAGGAGCCTTTTCCAATGTGTGGTTTGACAGGTATAAGATCTGTAATGACTGTCCTGAACACATTGAAAGCATTGATTCCATGTGCCAGGGCCTTACTGACCTGATCAATGATGAGGTTAAGAATGGCATTGCCAAGAACAGGATACTCATAGGTAAGAGATTTATTTATAATGTGTTTATTCTAATGGTTTCTTAATGGTTAAGAGATCATCTTCTTTGAATTTGCTCTATCCTGAAGGGTCATGTTCATGGCTTGAAACTGCTGAACAGCCTTTTCAGTAGCCAATCCTCAGCAATACTGAATCCTTATTTAAACCCATATCAGGTGGGGAACATGGCTAACTGTAAGCATTATCCTCAAAATGTAAAACTGTTTTTATTGTCAACAGTCATTTGTAATCATTATTTAAAATAGAGCAGGCAGTGATTTACTTTGAGAAGTACATAGTTTTACTATTTCCTTTAAGCCCTTTTCAAGGATGGAAAAGTACACTTTCCAAAAATGACGTGCATTTTGGAGAATGGAGATGTAGTGTATAAATAATCATGAACTTTTCCTTACTGCTCTAATCATTTTGGTTAAATTAATTCATGCAGGAAAAATGTGCATGTTACATAGCACTAAATGTTAACATTTGATAACAAATGAAGTATTAGTTGTAATAGTTCATATGTGTCTATCTTTATTTCTCTTTCCACAAATTTTCAATAGCTTCCACAGTACTTCAGTGAAATAGATGGTGGGATATTGAGGTACAGGAGTTAAAGGTGATGAAATAGCTTATGGCAGACAGGGAATGAGAATTCTCAAGTCCTTGGCTCCCTGTCCTATCTCTAGACCACAAACTATTTCAGGTTGGGGGAAAAAACTCTTAAAGTGGGATCTTATAAATTTATGTCCAACTGAGTTATGCTGTCAAAATTTGCATGGTCAAGCCACTACCATTCAACTTGGTGTGTTTTCCTGGTCCAGCCCCATATTGTTCTGTGAAGACCTTTGCTTGCTTTCCCTTTCTGGCTCATTGCCCTGGCTGCAGAGTGCATTGTTTTGGATGGCTGTCAACAGATTCCCTTTGATCTGTCTTTCCTGTGTTGTTACACCTGCTGGCTTGGAAGCAGCTGGAGAAGGGCAGGTGCTTTGCTGTTGAGCAAGCTGGGAGATGCTCTATGTACAGATCCAGTGTGCTACTAGGCTGTTTTCCTTTCCTCTGTAGCCTTCAAAATTAGAAATATCCAGACTGCAAAGTATGAAGGTTGTTTTCCAAGTCATAAGCAGAGTAAGGAAGTTGGCATGCACTGAGTGTTTCATCCCGTAGATTCTTTGGAAGTCCCCATCTCCATGTGTTTGCATTCCTCACATATAAACCAGAAATAACTGTACTTGTTTTGTCACTCTTGAGAGCTCTGTTTCCCCACCTGATAGAGACTACAAGCATACATCCTTGTGGTTGAGTCCAATATTTATGCAAGAAGCAAAATAAGGCAGCCCTGAGTTACTTTGTCCAAAGTACAGAGGGGGATTCATGTGGATGCATAAGAAACTTGGTAGTGGAAAATTGTATCACTTGTGGCTGTACAAGATTAAGTGTTCTTCCACAAGAACTTTGTGCCTTTTCTGTGCTATTTTGATGATTAACCAGTGTGTGATGCAGTGAAGAATGAAGCTTAGAGATCCTCTAAGGTCTCTATGCATAAAAGTGGCATTAATTGTCTTAGATAGGACTTTGTGCAAATAATTGCCCATCTTCTGGTATTCTTTCTTATAGGAAATTAGGACTTTTGTAATGGCACTCTGCAGATTTATAGTATTCAGCCTGGAGAGCAGAAGGCTCTGGGGAGATCTTGCAGCACCTTCCAATACCTAAAGGGGGCCACAAGAAAGCTGGGGAGAGATTTTTCAAGGCCATGTAATGATAGGACAAGGTGGAATGGCTTTAGACTGAAACAGTGTAGGCTTAGATTAGATATTAGAAAGAAATTCATTACTTTGAGGGTGATGACACACTGGAACAGATTGCCCAGAGAGACTGGGGATATCCATCCCCAGTAGTGTTCAAGGCCAGGTTAGATGGGGCCCTGAGGAACCTGGTCTGGTGGAAGGACTTCCTGCCCATGGCAGGGGGTTGAAACCAAATGATCTTTAGAGTTTTTCCCAGCCCAAACCATTCTATGATTTTTTGATCAAAAGAAAAAGGTCAATTCCATATGTCTACGCCAAACTGTAATGTCCACTAAGAAAGTAGAAATGTCTGGCCTGAAATTTTTTTGAGTTTAGGAGATTGGTGTACAGGAGATAATGGAAGGTTGGTTACTTGCTTAGAATGTCAGATAATTAAGTTCTATCAGATCTTTTTATATTTCTCTTTGAAAATGTGAGGAATATCCATCTGGTACAAGAAGATGAGGCCTAAGGTAACAGGTGGTGTGCAGACAGTGGGTTTGTCACTGCTGGTACCATGGAGTAGGAGGAGGCAGTGAGGTAAAGGAAAAAATAAAATATTTATAGCAGGGGAAACCAGGATGAAATTTTGCTATGAATTCATAGTGCATTCAGTGCTATTGAGTCATGTTGGAGATCCATAATGGGAATAACTGGTATATGTCTTCTTATGAGAAACAGAGACAAAATAGTTGAGAAAAGCAACTGGAGAACTTGGGAGTCTCTGAAGAACAGGGGGGGCCTTTTTGGGGAGGGTCACAGAAACCAAAGAGCAGAGCAGTCATATGAAGGTACTTAGAGGGAATGAAATCCGCCTTAAAAGGTTGAAGGAGAATTGGGTTGAGTGACCATTTTGTAGTAAGTGGGAGTTCTAATGACTGGAAAGAAAACAAAATTACTATGAGGAGCGTAACAAGATTGAAGGTTATGGTTTTATATGGAATAGAAGACTAGAAATTACCGAGGCTAAGGGTGAGTGTCAGATATTGTTGGATGAGGGTGAGCGAGGTGTTAGGCAAGAAGGAAGGTGGGCAGCTGCTGACAGCTCAGAGGCGTGGGATAAGAAGGCAAGATCTGAGGGACCACTGCAAAGGTGAGCGAGTGGGAAAAGACAGGGAGGAGCTCAAACATGGAAAATTAGTAGCCCTGGTGTTCTGGGGGATGATTCCCCTTCTTGAGCCCTTCAGACTTTCCACAAGGCTCAGGAGAGTGGGACAGTAAGAGCATTTTCTCTGAAAGAAATTATAGCCTGCGTTGTTTGCTTCGATACCTCCGAAATTCACAAATGACTGCTTGCAGATCAGAACTCTAAAAATGAGGATGGAGTCCAGGGTGTACAGTGCCACTCCTCTCTTCTTTATCAAGAAAAATGCTGGTGCAGCTTTGCTTTTAACAGCTGCTCTATGAATCTACTTCTAAAGAAATAAATTACTTAGTTTACTGGATCTAAAGGAAGTCTTATTTTTAAAACATCCCTATTAATTTTGTGACATGGCTCATCTACCCGTTCCTATCTCCTAACAGTTTCATGAGTTGCTTTCCTTTTAACTCAAATCTTTTGAAGGAAGTAGACTTCTGATTAAGCTTTATTTCCCCTGACCTTGGAGGAGGAAGGAAGGGAGACTAACAGCAATACATAATTATTAAAAAAATAATTATATAACCCCCAGAATTTGATAATGGTACTTAGTTTTTAGCCAGACATTCTTGTTGAGTTACTCTTACTGGTCTTCCTGGCTAAAGCATGCCTTGTAAATAGTCCTGTAAGTAGGTTTGTATTGACTTTGGAGATAAAAGAGTGTTATAAATTTAGTCAAATTCTGGCACTTGGAGCTTTGATAGTATCCTTTCTTTAAAAATGCCTGAATTCATTGCTAAATGGGCCAAAGAAGCCACAGTTTAAAATGTGGGACAATAATTGCTTTTTCTATCTAGAGCTAAGTTGGTTTTTCAGGTGGTGGTGGTTTTGTTTTTTGTTTTCTTCTGTTGGTTGTTCTGTTGTTTTGGGCTCTTTTAACTGCTTCCATAGTGATAGTGCACTGTAAAATAAGTCACTTCAGCGAAAACTGTTTAAGATGTCAACAATCTTATTCAAGAATATGTTAGAAGCTCTTGAAAGAAATGGTCCTCTCATTTTTTGAGCATTTTGATAGGGCTTACTGTAGTCAACTACACTTTGGTGAAAGGCAGTGTTTTTGTTCTTTTTTTATTCTTAATTTAGCACTGCTTTCCTGCTTTCACAGGTCACTTTTTGTGTAGTGCAGAAGTGCTGATCCAAGCACGTTGGTCTCTGCCACCTGTAGTCACTCGTGTAAGCAGCCAGCGAAAATAAACTTTCCATAACAGTCCTGTAGATTTGACTAAATGCCAAAAAACACATGCATGATTCCTGACCCCTTGTGCTGTAACAATAACACGACACACACAGCCACTTTTTGTTTATTGCTAGACTTCTTGCATAGCTACTGAACCACAGTGGAAGTACCATGAAAGCTCTGTGCTTCTTGTAAATATTAGCATTTCCTTCTCTCTCAGTGTGTGTGAGAATGGGATGGGGGGGAAGGAATATCTTGGCTTTGACACCCCAGAGAGCAGATCCTATAAATATGTGAAGATAAAAACTTCCAACAATAAATTGTTAAAGTGTTGAGCAAACTATTTCACCCACAATCTTGGCATTTTATGGTCATTTTATGGTTTTGGCTTCTAAGCCTTTTGCTGTCACTCATCCTATCTTGGATCTTCTGTATTTATTAGGAGAACATTGTCTTCCATTAAGAGGTACTTACTGCCTTGTTCTTACAGAGTAAATTCATGGATCTTTTTGCTGTTTGTCACTGCAATTCAAATGAGATTTCTCTTTCTGGACCTCCCATTACATGGCTTTGTGGTCAATTTAAATTGCACCTGAGATGCTGGGCTCAAAGCACTACTGTTAGTCCATCTGCCCCATAATACCTGCAACATTTTATTAATTTTCAGTGCATCAGTTTAAATTTTCATTGCATTTATACTTTTGAGTAAATGTTTGCTCCTCTTGTATTTGGTTTTTTTTTTTTGTAAATGAACTGACCATGTTTCTCTTTTAGATCTCTGCAACTCTAGCTCACACATCAGGAAGTAAAAAGAGACATTAACAAATTAATCTTTCTGTTTATTGTATGTGTTTCAGTAGGAGCTACAATGCTAATTTTAACCAAGAGTAGTCCATTA